GCGAGAAAATTTTTGACAAACTTCGCCCGCTAATAATTAATAATATTATAGAAACGAAGAAAAGTGTATTACGACTTAAAATTTACTCACCGAATGCCGAACAAATCGTAAACGAAGAATCCTCGGAGACGTCTAAAAATCGGGCCAAGTCATCAGAAAAGGAAGAGCAGAGTAGCCGTGTTTCCGATTGCCGGCTTCCGTCGTCGTAGCTGGCTAAAGCATCGAACCAACAAGTCAACGGCACGACAATATGCATTTAGCTGGTCGCCAGCAATATTACCTAACACACGCTTCGAGATTGGATCTTCTTACGCAGACAGAGAAGAGGACGGCTGGATGACTTCCTACATAGATAAGAATCATCATGGACGAGTATCCTCCTCTTTAAGCGACGAGGTCGCTGCTCTTCTTTCACTCTATACCCGCCATTATGCAATTCCCTGAATTCATATCGATGTCCTGCTCGATACATACCTGCTGCTACCTTGTCCCGATCCGCTTGTCAATACTTCCAAGATCATTCCAAGTGATTACTCTGCAATTTCGAGCTTCTTGTCTCGATACGGCCGCGTTGCTTCGACGAGTTTACGACATGGGTAGGGAAATTTTTCACCGAGGATGCGTCTGTCGATGGTGATTAGCAGCCCGTGTCGCCGTCCAGGGAACCTAAAAAAAAATACTAGAACGTTAGAATGATAAAAATAATGAAATATAATTCTAAACGTACAGATTAAGAAAGTGGAAGTCATTCGAAAAGTGAATTCTGATTTCACTTACCCCTGTTTGTCGTTTAGCAATAACACTTCACCAACTTTCAGTTTCCAACGATCAAATAACACACCTTAAGAAACGAAATTTTCCAATAATTACACACGAATCTAGACAAATCACCGTCTCGTCCTCCCTAACTCAGCGTATCAAATGAAAGTTATGCGCGAGCATCAGGTTTAACCGTGCAGGAAAATGCGTATCGGGTTCCGCATACTTTTTACGTATAAATACATCGTCTATCGGAAAATAACCGTTCACGGTGTAAATCACGGCAACGTACGAAGTTGATCTCGTCCCCGCGAGCGAAATAGCGACTCTCGAAAGTGAAGAGAGAGGTTAAAGGGTTGCAAGTGTCAGAGAGGGAACGAGATAGAAAGGGAAATACCCTAGCGGGAAAAAAGGGACGGGTAGCGTAACAAACTGCGAAATATAATAGGTTTGAGTTACGACCGCGACTGTGTGGTCCTGGTTTGACCCTTGGTCGCGGCAGCTAGTTAACTTTCGAGGCTGAGTACCAGCTTCGTAATCCCCGGAAGAGGGACCGAAGGAATACCGTGATTCCTGTTTGATTTAACTGGACCAATTACGCTCTGTTTATAATTATTCAATTAAACGAGGCGGGGTTCAAAATTGTATAATTTTTATAATAATCGTCCTATATTATAAATATAATTCCTTTTAAGGGTGTACGCGTTTCTTAAACACCCTGTACACGAAACGGCTGGTCAAACAGACGAAGAAGCATGTCCGCCAAAAGAATGGACTTTTCAGCCACGAATCGGCGAGGGGAATGCGATTACCGCATTCGTGCAGTACGTCTTCTGCATTTCGTAACCCAGACGAGGCTGGAGCGCTCCAACGAATACAGAAAACGTATCGCAGACTGACCGCGTCGGAGGATTAGGAACCTCGTCCGGGAATCGTCGTGCGTCCTCGTGTCTGCCAACCTGTCGCCGACTCTTACGTAACACATCGGAAATGGAACTCGTGGGACTTCTCATTTAGAAAGTTCAAATTTTTATTACAGAAAAATACTTGTATTCATGATCTAAATAAAATTTCTATCATGGAATCGAGGACTTTCCGATTCATTATTTCTAGCTATTTCATAAAAATTCTCCAAACGAAGGAAATTGATTAGAAACGTTTTATCAACCCTTCGAACGATCCGTTGGCTAAAGAATGGCAGGGGTAAGGGGTAATTAATGTCGGCAGGCCACCCGCAAACGATGGAAAGTCGCCCAGCTGTAGCGCTTCGAGCTTGGCCATCTGGCTGGTGGCCAGCTGACGTTGCGATAAAGCACGACTACACCTTCTCCAGTCCTCTTGGGCACGTGCAACGACCCCGTGATCTTGAACTTCTCGTAATTCTTAGCTCGACGGGACGGTTCAACGAAACACGCACGTTCGAACCGAGGGAAAAAAGCTCGGCGCGCGACCAAGGAACTTAGCGTCCACGGCGTCGCGTCGGCGAGAAAGAAAGGGGACGAAGATGACACGAGGGGGTGAAGAGAGAAAAGAACGTTAAGGACAGATACGTGAGATTTTAATTGCTACCAGGAAACGCGTCGCTCCCGGCACACATGAGCTCGTTCGTTCGTGCGTGCCAGGATCTGGCCGGATCTGCGAGCAACCGCTTTGCTTCCGCCGTTCGTCCCCTTAACTGCCCTCGAAAACTAGCCGCGCAGGCTAGATTTTAGATTCACGAGAGGACGCGACGATCTTTTATGTCCTGCTGTACGCCGCTCGTTTACTCTCTTCCCTGGCTTTTATGCTCCTGTCAGGCAAGCGTCAGCCACCTCGCGAATGCGACTACGCGTGCTTTATAAACGTATCCTCTGACTCTCCTAGCGATGGTGTTTGCTTGTGAATTTAATTTTGATTAGTTTAATTAATCGCGATCAACGCGAATCTGGTAAGAAAATTCCTTCTCCGCATGAATGATCGTGGATCGCGATTGCCCGGTGTCCTCGCGTCGAATCTGTTAATTTTACAGCTCGACCTCTCGGTCTCCGTTCACGGCGTGCGAACACGCCGAACCGCCGTTCACCGGCTCGATTTCGTCCCGTGCAACGCGCAAAAGAGAATAAAAGCCGGAGGAACGAGTCACGCGACTATGCAGATCAGCAGGATCGATGCGCGAAATGAGCGGCGCGAGCTGATTCGGAGTCTGGCTACCTTTAGCCTGGCATCGAGGAGCGGAGCGGCAACGGCAACGGGCAACGGAGAAACAGCACCGGGTATCTCGGTATGCAGGTCACCCCATTCGTGAGTCCACAAATCACCGGATGCATTGTCTGATCAGATAACGCGCGAGTTTATGTTATCTCGCGGCGGCTACCGCATAACTCTCGCGGCAGTTATCACGAGCATCCAGCGGACACACGGGGGACCATAGACGGACATGCCGGCTGGTTCCTGACGTACAACCGCGTACAGCTGGTGTCTACGACCTGCGAGAGCCACTTTTGTTGCGATTCCTTGTGAAAAACGGCGTGGACGGGACACGTGCAGCCACGTACGCGCACGCTTTGTCCGATAACCGCGATTAGGAAAACCTTAGATCCGACCGATGGGATGGAAAAAAATGAAATATCTCTTTGTATTCTTCTCCGAGCGATGGCAAAGTTATTTTTCCTATCGGATTCTTCGTCAGACCTTGACATTTAGGGAATACGATCTCGAAGTACCTAACTATGGAGCCAGTTCATGATCTTTCGGATCAATTAAGAAGCCGTATGAGCTTTGAACCGTGCCGAAAAGAAAGATCAAACAATATACCGGTTCAATTGTTCCAACTGGAGGGCACATCTTTAAACATAACCCGTCGGAGGCCAACAACGTCGTGGGACATATACCGGTGAACGTTTAAGAGAGGTCCCTTTCGAGCGTGTCCCCGGCCACGGTACCGAGGCCAAGATGCACTATAACGTACGTCCGAGGCACGCTGCTGGTGGGAATACAGCGTGGGTACTTACCTTTAGCCGAGAGAGCCGATCGCCTTTCTCAGAATTAGATAAGTCCCTTTATTGGTGATCGGATCACAGCAGCAGCACAACAGCAGCAGCCAGCAGCAGCAGCAACAGCAGCACAGCAACAGCAGCACCAGCGGCAGCAGCAAGTTCAAGGTTGGCTGGTTAAAAATAACCACCTTGGCGGACTCTCGCTTGCCAGAGAACTTCTGTTGCCGTTCCCTTAGCTAGCTCAAGTCGACCGGAAATCTACTGTCCGAATGGTGAACCAACTTTTCACTCACTTATACTGTCCGTCTTCTGAGGATCATCCTGAAGACCTACCTTGGTTTTCGGGATCATTCGTTCTGGAATTAGGAAACGGTGATTAGGATGATTAGGATTTTTTGAGAAAGAAGATTGGATCTAACCCCCTTCGCGTCGTTCGACCCAGCTACAGAAATAAAGTCAAGTCCTCTCATAAATAATTGTTTAACTCGTCGAGTACTTGGAATCTAGTAAATCTAACTGGGAAATAGCATATGGAAATCAAGTTGTAATGGGTCGTGTGTGAACGAAGAAAATTGAATGATTGATAAGGTGCCGTTGATGAGCTGTGTAACGGTATGTTACAACGTTCGAGAGAAATTGCTTCGCACTGCCTCAGGAAAAATAAACAATTTTTTCTCTTTAAATGAACTGGAATGCAGTTCCCTCGACGCGTTATGACATAACTGTGCACATAATTATCGATATTACAATATTGTCGATACCCGATAGGCATAGACATTTGAATAATTTTATGGAACAATATGCATGTATAACTAGACGAATAAAGGAAGTATAATATTGATGTTCTGACTTGGTTACTCACTTAATATGTTAAATAACATCTCATCTAACTGTTAATACTCTAAGATCGAAGGATATTTTAATGAAGTGTCGTTAAGTTATGAGCGACTTATGATTCTTCTATAAATGCACAAGTAATCTGTCCTTTCCTTTTTTATAACACCTTCTTCAGTAACTTGTCATTACTGTAACCTGAAAATTGAATTTCAATTAACTTACGTTCCTGAATATATTAATTTATCAAATTATAGGTTTGTGAAATATTTTTAAATAACTGATGGATATTCAGAATTAGACATTTTTCTAATAAAAATTAACGAAATACAGTAATGCCCCGGTAGTAGTAGTAACATTGCCGCATCTGGAAATAACAGAACTTTGGGTTAAGTGAGATTAAATACACCCAGAGTATACAAAACACGTAGATTTAACAGCGATTCCGTCAACGTCGCGTTTTATTGAATAATCAAAATGGTAACACTATAATAGTGACATTCCTCATAAGTGTAATAAATGATTAGCCTAAAAATTCTACATTTGCATCATAGTCTTTCATTTCATTATCATTATCATCATCATTAATCGTCGTCGCATCGCTTACTCTCTCATTTTTTCTCTCTCTTCCTGAGACGAAACACAAACGAACCGTGCTTCCGTTCATTACATTATTTTAATTACTATACGCATAATATTGATATTGCGGGAATCTTGAATAAAATCGGTGACGAATGGCGTACGTGTGTGTCTTTGTATACTCATTCTATAGTCGAGCGTTTTCATACTCATTCCTAGATACACATTCAGGGCATAAAAATTCATCCGAAAACAATTACTATTTAAACATATCTTTTTTTCCATTAAATCGCACGTGAAACATCGACGTCCTTAAAAAATCTACATTTCTTTTATTCTATTATTTTTTTGTTCGTTTATATTTAAGCAGACAGCGTAGAATCAATCATTCGTGACAAAATTTTGAAGGTTCTACTTTGAGGGAATTACAATTAAACATAAATTTTTCCTTCTGTAAATCATTTTCTTTTTTTAAATTCTTTCATGCCAATGCACGAACCATCGAAATCAAAGTCATCAAATTAAATGAAGCACCACGATAACGAGGAAACGTCGTCACCTCGCCACGTTATTGCACCACGGGGAACTGTTAACGAACGAATCAACGGAGAAACAGGGATTCGAGTAAGGATGTTCATAAATCTATTCGATTTATTGCTTCGTAGCATCGGTAACGATCGTTTCCATCGAACACGATTGATTCTGGCTGCCTCCACTCGTTTTTCTCTGTCGCACTCTCGCCCCATTTACCTGTCAGAAGAAAAAATATTCGAAGATTCGTGCAGGGAACGACGATTTACATTGATCAGGTTCTAGGAAGAATCTTTAACCCTTTCACTATAAAAAAATATCAGTAATAAGTACCCTTTGATAAATAACTGTAAAAAATCAAATACTGAAAAATTTATCATGAAAATCAAATAATTGTAATTAACATAAGATGTACTAATTTAGAGAATTATTATTATAATTTTTTTAAAAAATACTTTCACTGGTTTGCCTGCTAAACTTCCAAAGTGCCAATGATGCTGAAAGGGTTAAAAATTTAATTTTAATAAAATGGTGTTGAAGGTGGAAATGTAAGATGGTTGAGTCTTCGAAATCTTCTTCGAGTATCTTCAGTTTCTTCTACTGTTAGGGAAAATCATATCGTTAATACGTTCCATGCCTGGAGGGGTCACCGACGACCCGCGACAATCGTTAAAAGTAAAAAATTGTATTATGAGAATATTTGAACTAGAATCCTAATAAAATAATGAGATGTTTCTAAGACAGCTCGCTTTAAAAATCTTCTAATTCTACGCGACACAGAACGTATTAGAACATCCTCAAAGATAAATATATCATTGAGCTAATCGTCTTCCTACGTATACATGCTAAACAATTAAAAATATAACATTAATAGAAACGATGGTATATAACTAATTACGATAATTAAAAAGAAAAAAGAACGAAGAATTACATTCTGCAGTGTACGTCTGTTGATCGTTTTCAGTTTTAATCGTTCTCTCTCATTCGCATGATGTATTAATTAAGTAACTATATAGTTTCATTGAAGAATAAGGACATGTAAAGTCTCTTGAAACCCTCGTTTCTCACTTTCACACTTTGTTCGCCTCTCTCACTCCTTTTAATTAGATTAATCCATGCAAATTGTCTCTGATTTGGTTGATTTTTTTGTTTTCGTTAACACGATGACTGCCGTGGGAATCACTGATACCGGGTCCTAAAATTTAACATCTTGAATGCCGATGGAGTCACCACTGACCCCTCGAGGAAAACAGAATAGAATATTATAGAAAATACAAAAATTTCAGGCTTAAATTTAAAAATTAATTATCTGGGGGCAATCAACGTGTTAACCTTCTGTATCCCACAATAATTGTTTTTTAACCAGCTTCACGTAATTCTATTATTCCTGTTTTACTTATTTAATCGAAGGTGATGATTCATTATAAGGTGCATCTAATTATGAGGTTGAAGAGCTATAAGCATGAGTGCAATACTGAGATATCTATTCTTTGCGTACCATTCGATTAATTAAGATCGTTTGCGGCTAGTGTTAATATCGAGGATTTTAAAGAGAAATTGTGGGTCACAGGAGGTACTAATGGAACGAAAGGAAAATAGAGATTGCTAAGAATCGTCACCGAGAAATCTGTAGGTAATCTAACGTTTTATCTGAATTGAAGCTAATGAAAAGCGTTTCTAATTACTTTTCCATTTCACGAGAAGACAATTGATTGAATAATTTATCAACCAAACCATTCTCGTTCAACAGAAATTGTGCCAACCTGATTAATAAAATCTTATTAATTTAATCAACAATTTATTTATGGAAATGTAAAATTCATTGTGTCAATAAAATAACAAAGTGGTGGCTATTTGGTCAATTTAAATAGCATCAATTTCATCAACTAATGATAATTTTAACTAATGAGGTTAACACCAATTTGTTGTACAAAATAGTGCCAACTTGATTGATAAAATGACATTTAATCAATGAAAGTGGGACAAGAAGGAAATATCTATTTAATTGACTAAATCACACAAATTCAATTAAGAAAATGACACTTCAAATTCCAAAATAGACTTCTGTCTATTAGATCGATTTTTAATGTATTCAAATTTAACCAAGTTAGCACACAAAATGGCTATTTTATCATCGAAAAGAACTGTCTCTATCTCGTTTATTCTGATGCGTGCAAGTGTGTCGATTAAAAAACTGACGATCGCAGCATGCTCGACAAGAAAACGCTCGCAGTCGCTGGAAAACGACGAGGATTCGAGATCCCATATTGATGGCTCGAACTTACGAAGTTAACTGAAAATGCAGAAGCACACAACTGATTTGTGTCCGTGGTGCTCCACTTGAAACGATCACAATTTGTGCTGTAAAAATGTATCCTCGTCGTGCGTAAATTGCTATAAAAAAACCTAGTATAAATTCCTCTCGTAACACTTTGCGAATAAAATATTTAAATACTTAAAAACAAAATCCATAAAAATTATAATTTTCTTGATGAACAATTGAATTACCAATGCCTATACAGAATAAAATCAACAAATCTTTGTAAAATGAATAATTTAACAAAATCTTCGCAAGGTGTTACAAAAAAATCTCTATAAAAAAAAGGAAAACAATGACATAAAATAAAGGCATCGAAAGAAAATTGGAAATTACGTAAAAAATAGAAGGAAAATATTTCGAAAAGAAGCAACAGCTAGCCGCGCGAGATGGTCATTGTCGGAGAAATGGAGGCTGGAGGCGGCGAAGGGTAAAAGGAGAAAGGAGAAAGAAAAATTAATTCCAAAAAAACGATTCTGTACGAGTCTCTCGCTAAGGACGGCACGATAAAACCGAAAAGAAAAAGAAAAGGGAAAGAAAAAAAAATAGAGAGAAGCGAAATGAAAGGCAAAGAACACAAGACGGATTCCGAACGCATCCTCCAACGACCGCATACGGCGTATACAATATTCAAAAGTGCGTACAAATATATACATGTAGATATACATATATCTATATATACGTGTGTGTATAGATTGTTACAAACATGATAAAAGGAAGGTACACAAAAATGAAGCCGGCCGCGTTGGTGGCGGTCGTCATCGATAAAAATCAACCAAAAAATATTCACGTGTGTAAAAATACCGACGCTTCTATTTAATCTATCTATATATTTATCTACCTATCATTCTCCTTTTTATTCTTTCTCTATCCTTTCAATCGTATCTCATCGATCCGATCACCTTGTTCCTTCGATATCTCCCTCGAAACCCTACACGCGTTTCCTGCCTAAACGCCTTCCATCGTTCCTTACCATGCTCCAAAGTAACTTCCGTTCCCAATTTTCGTCTACAGCTTTCGATGGAGAAGCTTGGTTTAAAAGATTTCACGAGAATACTCGCGCGCGAATCCGCGCGGTCCCCTCTTTACGATTCTCGACTCGCCTCGCCTAGCTTCGCCGATTCATCGTGGATAAAACAACGCGACGAAGCGATTAATCCGCTCGTTTCTAGTATCCTCGCCGTGCCGAGAAAGGAACGCGTGACCATGAAAAAAGAGGCACGACCTCGACAATCAGGACGAACTTACGTGAACGGAAGATCCGTCGCACGCGCGTGACAGCTGATCGGCCACGTTTTACTTGGGGGAGAAGCACACGATGAACATCCGCAAGGACGAGACAACACATCCTCCTCTTTTTTCCTTCCACGATCTCCGTTTTTTTCGCGTCGATGGTGATGCTGGTTGCTGTTGCTGGTCAAGTTTACTCGGCGGGGGGGTTTAACGGGAGATTTTTCGTTAACGGGTGTGTTTGGTCGAATAAAAATCTCAGCCGAGACCGGCCCATTGCATGAAGTCGGGAACCTCCCTTACGGGAACGTCCCTGGCCAAAGCTTTCACCCTTAAGTTCCTGTCCTCTGTCAATAGGACCACTTCCCTTCTCAGTCGTCTTGGCTGACCCTCTTCTGCTCGAATCAAAGGTATTGATTCGTTTACATCTAGGGGGATGATTTTGAAAAAAAGAAATTTATTTTTTTAACTGACAGCTGCTGAAAGAAGGTTCTGAGCAGGAACTGGGAATGAAATTTTCACTGGGAAATTAGTGACATGATGGGTCCTGATTTCAATTAACCCTCGGACGACGGACCATGGAGAGATCTCTAATTATAATTTAATTCAAATATCTGTTGATATACGTAAGTTTGAATCGCGATTGACCCCAATGGCCAGGATAAATTCTGAATAGCATTATTACATCAACGATGTAAGCTTAAATTGAAAAATAAAATAATCACACCCTCGATAATTATTCTTACACCGTGTCCTTCAAGATGTTAGTAATTCGTATTATCGTATACCTTACTAGACACAACCACTTTTGCTACAGTAGAGAGTGTAATTAACACTCGGAAGAGCTTACTCGTTGAAAAGCAAATCGCTTCTTTCAGCAAGCAGTCGTAACCCGGTAAAATAAAAAGGGAGCAAAGTAAGAAAACTATCTCTAAGAGACGTCCATAATTTAAGCAGCAATACGGTTTCAATTAGTCAGCCGCCTTCTAATGAAACCGATTTCACTAGGTGTCGATCCCACGACCAGGAGGAACGGGCAAATAATTAGTAGCCTGTTCGCTAATAAATTCCGCTCTGATAAGGAACGGTAAAAGTTACACGCGCTCGATCACGACAAGGCTCGAGAGAGCACTGGCCACGCCGATAACGGTTAATCTCCAAGCGAAACGAGCGCCACGATCAACTCCGTGTATTAATCGCTATCAGCCCCGTGGAAAACGTTGAAACGTGTTCAGGATACCTCTTCCACTCGGAGAAATACGAGGCTGCTTTTGTATACGTACCTGCATTCGCTTGATCTTTGTTGGCCGCCTTGCAGAGGCTCAAGCACGTAGCCAGTATTCTGTCATCGTTTCTTGTCAGCCCGTCCTGCAACAGAATTGCAGATGCTCGCTTTATTACTCGAAATGACACGAGTTTAGTATCGTGGGAATATTCAATGAAAGACTTTCTTTTCTCCTCCAGTTGCATTTCGGTTTGATAATTCACGTTACGAACCGAGTTTCCAACATCCTCCGGAGAACCGAACGAAAAGGGAAGAGATGAAAAAGCGAGGAGGAAGAGTGACGGAATAAAATGAAAACAAGCTCTCGCGGCACTCGTTATCTATTATTTGACAGATCGAGGTTCCTGTTACGATCCTATCCTATCCATGTACCATGCGTGTTACCAGCGAGATAAGCGTCAGACCGAGAATGCGTGCCGCACCAGAAGTTACCACACCGCGAGAAGAATTTATCTGTGCACCACGTGGGGGGTTCTCTTACGTTCCTCGACCCCTTATCATAACATTCGCGCTTCAATGAACACTGGCAATCCATTTATTTTTCTATCAGTTGTTGTCCGCCACTTCTTTCCACAATCTGTTCGATTTCTTTTTTTCTATATTCCTATCGGTTGAACTTTATCTCAAATAAAGATAATCGGTTTACCTTGTCAACATCTTCTTCCACGGTGAATGTACTAGAAGTAAGGACAGTTCCTCTGGTGGTTAAGCATCTGATCGCTGGATTTCTGCTTCTAGCAAAGGCCAGAGCCACCTTGGCGCTCTCAGCCACCCTGGCCACGTGCTCTGGGTCCAAAGTCGCCCTCGAAGCTGGAGGACAGTCCCTGGCATCGGCACCCCTCGCTAGACCCTCGAGCTCGTTCAGAACTGCAACAGAAATTTCAATATTCTGTCAGCTCTTATAGAAAATTCTTATTCTGTTGAAAACAAAGGTTCTTGTTGCTCGATTGAAGTTTGAAAGTTTTTTTTTCTTCTTGTTTTGCTCATTCTATGGAAAAATGCAGTGATACCCCGTTGAGAGCTGGGCTGATTTGCCACTTGATTTAAGGGAATGGGGTGGAGAAATTCTCTCGGGAGGGGATGAAAGTTTTTTCATCGGCTCCGTTGCTCGAGGAAAATGAGTCGACGCGAAATTTCAACGAAGGGCCCTTTAATGGTGTTTACTCGGACTTTGTCAACCCCCGCTGCGTAAACGTACCACTAACGAACTTTTGTTGTGCGGACGAAACTGCGAGAACAGAATGGCACGAGTTCCTAATAGTATACTGAAAGATTGATGATTTATTCCTGGGAAAGTTTTGGACGTTCCTGCTAGATGAAAATATCACGTTGTTAGTAACATGACAGATGTTAAGGTAGTACCAGCTTCGATACGTCTGTCTTTTCATATCAAAATAGTCTAGAAAATCTAGTAAATAATTTTCCAATACTGTTTCGTAAAGTTCAATAACATTAGATTTTAGTACACTGCTCAGATCTACTTTCTTCTTGCTTGGATCAATAAATCCTGAAGCAGTTCGCGAAAATCTGTTTTTTAAAATAGATATCGACCAGCCTCAAGAATTATAGATAAGCCAACTATCGAGTTCACGATTTCGTTCGTTTCAAATGTAGAAACAGATCTCCAAGGATCTCGTGCAGGAAGTGACGGGTCAATAAGTAATGAACGAGCAATTTCTGGCGTACCACGGAGATTCGATCTGAGCTTCGTTTTCCCCGAGATATTTTTGTTTAGCTTGATCGACGATGGTACACGAAATGTGTTTCAGGTCTAAATGCAGAGATTTTAAGTGGCTAAAATTTTTATTAAATTTCTGTGGATAACTGGTTCGAAAATAAAACATAAAAATTAATGACAATTGCTTGGAATAGAAGGTTTTAGTTAAATGTAGACGCGTAATCGAATCCAATTATACACAGATCCTGATTTAACTGATTAATTAGTAATGCGATCCTCTATTTCAATCTCCCATAACCGAATAATGACTACGAGTTCGTAATTCTTAGCCGAACTGATTATTACATTTTCCTCGGGCATATATGATTTTTTGGAATTTCTTTTTTCAATTTTAAACACCACATTTCATATCGAGACACCGGGCGACGTTTAATAATCAGGGAGCAAAGTCGCGTCGCACAGAGGAACAATTTTCGAGTGTCTCTGACAAGCGGTAATTGGACTGTCGACTGCTGGAAATACGTGACAGGATTCCACACATTTCTCCGCGCCGTTCGCAACCGGATTTTAAATAAAACAATTCCAGTTCGAGCTCGCGAATTTTATTACGAGCCGACACTATGGAGCAAGAATTTCAAAGCCCGCCTCCACTTTTGTCTTTCCGCGTCTACAACTCATTTCTAACTTTAATTAATCGTCTGCTCGATAGAGGAGAAAATTATTAATCATGCAAAACTCCCGTACCCTTCGTGGACAGCATATACGTAGACAGACGGTTCAATAAAATAACAATGACCTATTTCCCATCGAACCCCACACTACAGGACTCCGTATGAAACAGGATTTCAGGAAACTGCATCACTGGATACTTAAATACACCACAGACCACTGTCATAAAGTCCTGCAGGGTGGAAGCTCTTGTTAGGTAAAAACAAATAGGGTGGTGCCGATTGATGCTGATGGCATCCAGCTGAAAGAACGAACTCGAGAGCCATTCTCCCGCGACCACCATGGACATCGCCCACGTACCGATCGTGGCTAGACAACGGCAACGTGGTCCAATCGCCGTACGTTTCAGCCAGTACACATGCATTCATGTATGAGCCGTGAGAACCTAACTGTACGAACGTAACCCGTTGTCGGAGCCAGACAGACAGGCCATTGCTGGCCTGGCTACAGGGTCAAAGGGCACGACGTCGCACGAATTTGCATGGACGCACACTTTCGTTTTTCGGTGCCAGGAGAAAGATGACCAAGACGTGTCGAGGCAAGAAAGTTTAATATAAAAATGAAGAAAATGGGAAAATTTTCATGAAAGCACTCCATAGTAATCTGACACAATCCTTGTACTAACAACTCTTCGAGGAACACGATCATCCCTCGATACAGTAACTCTTCACAAGAATTCGTTGGCAACTTTCTTCCCTCCTCGGTCCCGATAAATTAACCCACTGTCAGATTCGAAAGCGAACCTCCACAGGAAAGACTTATTCTAAGGGGGTGAGCACCCCTTGGACCTCGTCGAATAAATTGTTGCCAGTGATGTTTAACCCGCCAAAAAGTTCCGAAGAATCCTCGACCAGACGTGTTTTTCTGCCCTGACTCGCCCGCCCCTGTACGTGTCTTTTCCTCCGTTTCCCGTTCACCCTCTTCGAGACCACCCCTAAAATCCGATAATCGACTCCCGTGTACAGGGTGTACTAAACTGATAGTCTCTTTATTTCATAACCATCGTAAAAAGAATCTTTTTTACACTATTATTCGGAAAATACGGAAGGTGAGTTTTATTTCATAAATGGAACTCCAACTGGTTTTCAACGGATAGAATTTACGAATTTATTTAAGAAGCAACGTCAAACATGCACACCCTGTATAGCAAAGAGGTAGGAATACCGAGACACAGCAAACACAGCCACCCGATTCGAGGGCACTTTCAATTGGAGATTCAACGACATTTGGTATGCATTAGCCTACCCCCATAGCAACAACCCCCTCGTAGATGCAGCAGACATACGACTCGATACGGATTCGCTCGATCTACGATGGCTGCATTCGATTAGAAAGGAAATTACTTTCTTGCAAATGCTGGCCAAACTGTGTAGGTATTTCTTTTTATGCGATAGTTGTATCGCTTGGAAGGGGAAGGTTCTATTCCAAGGGAAATTCATGACATAAAAGTATTACAAAATATTACTTATTATACATAAAATTAAAGTTTAAAGTTTGCTGAAAAACGTTTGCAAATCGATTCGATCAATTGAATGCAAAAATTTATTGAATTCCGACCGAAATTCATCTTCTCGTGTATGGAGGGGAGGATTTATAGGATTCAAGAAGGAATGCTCGTACTCGCATCGTGTTTCTGCGATAGAGCAACCCTTCTATCTTTAGAGATTAGAATATAAGTTGTATCGTTGCTCGGAAATGTACAAGGAGTAATCGTAAATTAACCCTTTGATTCCAAATACGGAAATTTTCCACTTTCATTCGTATCAAAAGAAATGCCTACGTAATTGACAAATTTCAAATTCACTTATATAAACAGTTCTAAGAAGAAAAAACTGAGAATTGCAACATTGTAACGACCGATACAAAAGATACTTTCTTCCAAACGCACAGTTAATCGTCTTTACGTCACCGCCAAAAATGATAATGATAATAGCCCAATTTTTGCACAATCGTACACGATGTACACCTAGCTCCATTCAAATCAATCAACTTGTCACATTAAACTAATGTCGCATTAACCAATCCCGAAAATTTTAACGATACAATAATTCTCCTCGCTACATCACTGTCAAATCAGAATCTAACGTTCACCAACCAGACATTAGACGATATTAATTCACCAGGATGTCCCTGTCACGCTTTCAACGCTGATCTATTACAATTGTATAACGCGTGACAAATTGTTGGCAACGCAAAGAAACATCTTCGGAGATCATCGACCAAAAAACCAACACCTGCGTCCACTTTCACCGGCAAAATTCGCAAGGCCAAAACCACGTATATCGTCCTTGTTCGTCATGATGAGCCTGACCTAGGTCATCTGGCTAATGATCGAAACAAGTGGACGTTCCGCGGGGATCATCGACGTAATCGACGATAACGCAACCAACTTGGGTGCCTCGGAATCGATTCGACTGAATTATCGAACCAATCGCCGTTAATTTGCAATCGTGTAACAATGATTGATGGAACTATTTCCGTTTCGTACGGCCTTCAACGCCCTAAGCAAACTCCTCCAGGGATCATCTTCCTTGGGTTGTTTTTCAACGATGGTTTTTTGTTAAAATATAAAATTAAACGAGAACGATGGACTTTCTATCAATTTGTATGAAAATTGAAAGGGATTTATCGAGTATCAAACAAAATACTCGATGGGTTCAAATGGAGCGAGGTACCGTCTTCCTATTGCTAAATTAGAAACTAAAACGTTCACTTTCTCTCCCTGGTTAAAAAATGAAAGTTTCTGCTAATTTCACTTGTTACAAAGATACAACGTCTCATCAAATTGCAAAAGTAATATGTCCTTAAGAAGAACTTTTACTAGTTTCGTCCGTTTGTCTGTTCAAAGGATCGTCAATTTCGCATCTTCCTTTTTTCTCAAACGATCCTAACGACTGATTTCTTTTTCAAGGATCTTTTTGGTGACTTTTCAACTTAGCTCGGGGGGTCGCTGGCGTACGCTGGAACACATTTACCATCGCCTAAGGCTACACAGCCAGCACGTTAATTCGACAGTTACACGAGGCACGGTAATTGGGTAATTGCTATGCTAAAGTACACTCGTGCGTACTGGTAATTACCGTCCACGTTCGTCTAACGGACTGTCGCTTTTGCTGGTGAAAAGGGAAACTTCTGGCTCCGATCGAACATAGTATTTCTGAATTCGAGGGTTTCGTTTCTCTGTGATTCCTTTTATTTAAATTTAAACGATTTCAATTATCATGTCATTATCTCCACGTTAAATTCCGATAAACCATGACCCATAAAAGGGTGATCGCAGGAATCATCCATTCCGTAATATCACCCAGATATGGATGACGTGATAGGTAATGTGTTAAAAGTATCGCCCCAGGGTGATCATGTCATCGAGAGAATACCATCAGCAGGTCATGGCATGGGTCAGAAGATGCGCAAACATCCGACTCACCTTGCGATGACAATCACCATCGTCATCGCTTCGTTCGTCTCGTCCCGTGTATAGAATCATCCTGATAATTGTCCTTTCGTTTGCTTAATTAATCGAAATTCTGATAATTTATTATTCGATCGACACGGTATTGACCCAATGGCTACATAGTTTCGTAACACGTAAATTGAGACACAAATTGGACAATTTGCTACATAAATTTGTTCATCGTTTAATCAATCGAGTATTGCATGGATTCGCAGTTCATTAACACCGAGATGATAAATTGCGATAAAATTGTTTAATGATGAGCGTGAAACATTACGCTGAAGACACTCGAGAGTAAAATTCTGATGAGAAAATTAATTCCATCGAGAGGATGATGTTAATGAACGCGAGTGAAATATTGTTCGATCACTCATTACTAGGAATCACTCACGATCGGCTAATTAATTTATGAACTAATGCCTGCTGCGAGCAAAATAAAGGGTAGGATATTAAGAGCTTAGTTCGGAAAAACTTAAATTTGCAAATTTACAAAAACGAAAAGTGTTAAATTAAAGGTTTTTTACAAATTTACAGAAACGAAATGGACTAAATTAAATTTAAAATCCTTAAAAACGAAAGGTAATAAATTAAAAACTGAAATATCCAGAATTTTTCCATCTGAAAATCCATAAACATTCGAGGATGGGAAGGGGGAAACAACTCGTGGGAGGCGGGTTTACGATGTATTTCGAAGCTCGATCGATTCGCATTCGACCCTCCCTTATTTTCGGCGAGCAGCGATCCCTCGGGATGCGAGCGAGAGTCACGACCTCCTCCTCCTTCGTTATTTATCGGCGATTATTTCATACGTTTTACTTTTTTCCCACTACGAGCAGACATTATTTCGGACAACGTTAACCCACCTCCCTGTGCTCGGGATAATCGACGACCTTCCTTTGTAAAAATACTTTTAAAGCGAGAGAGATAGGACGGGGGTCAACCGGTTCAGAGACGCTTCTGGCGACTGTGCTGAATTATTTAATCTCATCCTTGTACTTTCTGACTCGTATTACGAACAAATTGGCTTCCTTCTTCAATAACACAGATAACCCCCCTGGACTTTCCGAATCGAATGAAACAATTTAAGATTTTCAAAGAAATAATATTTCTTATCAAAACAAGCGGATTACCTATTAAATTTAATTTGCAAGAATTCGATATTTTTTGAGAATAAAATAAAATTATTTACTCACCCACAAGCGGCACCATAAGCGTATAAATCGGTTGTGCACCAGAGGTTGCCTTGGTGATATTTTGCAACTGTGGCAGATAGTCGATGAAACAATTAGTGTCTGGAACCAATTGCCTCGGTCTCACTTCGATTTCCACAGAGACTGATGAATTCTGCAAGATTTGCTAGAACATAGAAGAAAAGGAACATCGTTAATACTCTGTTCGAATAATTTGAACGCATATCAGAGTAGTGATCGTCGCGATTGAACAGACGGAAAGCACGCGAAGAATCCGGCGACGAGCCTAATTGTTCGTGGGAGCACACTGATGGAATGCAAAAATAAGGCTCCCGTTCCATCACGTCACCGTGTAAATGTCGTACACATGTCCAGGTGTTATGCGACTTCTATCATGGGGCTTCGCTATTCGACCAAGAATCTGGGTGGAGTTGATACGAATTTTTTGCATACTTGATCAAGGCCATATATGATGGTATTTTGTAATACTGAGCAGTATTGATGGTACAACATTTTACGAGTTCCTATACTTTAATTACTTATTTTTACTAATGATTTAATTCAACAGCCCTTGAAATTTGCAATGATCAAAAATCAGGAAGAGATTGATACGAAATTTGCATAATTGAAGAAACAAATATATTCAATGAAAACATGAATTAATCGATAAAGTAAGAGGGGAATAGGAACCTAGTACCACGATCAATTTCAATAGGAAAGTTTCTTGATGATAATGTCGCATGGAACACTCGATTATACTCCGCAGACACTTGAATAGCTACAAGTAACGCTTAGCTCGTGTAGACAGCAAGTTGGCTGAATGAACGAGGACACCTGCTTCGATATTCAGGTGGGCACGTTCAGTATATTCATAATCAGCTACATTACACGTTCATTCTGGTTAGGAGAGAAGTATGAGGTATCGAAAGGGAAAATAGTCAAACTAATCTCTAGTCGTCAGATCCATAGCACACCTCTATTGAACACCCATAATTTTGTTAAATGGACACATCACTCTAAAGCATTTTTTCATAATTAATTACTGAATAAAAATTATAGCTTTTTGTAATGTAAAATACTCCACGTCTGAAATGAAACTATTAAAAAGGAGAAATTCTCAATCTCCGAAGAATAAAATATTAAGTATTGAAGTTACGTCTGAGAGTAATAGACGGTATTTAAATGAATCCGATAGGACGGTTGAAAAGTTAATGCACCTGAACGACCGGCTGGTATATGGAGAGCCATGTACCGTGAAAACCGAAAATTATTCACCGAGGCGAGTAATGGCGTTTGAATGACGATGCATAATAAATTGAACGTCGTTGAAAATCGTCTCGCGCCGCCAGTATTACGGATTCCTAGGTATTTTGGGCACCAGTGAATTCAGGAATGTTAGCTTTCTTCGAGCCAACAACGTACACGCGGTACATGATAATTAGCCGCGGAAACGGAACGCCTTATTCAAACGTTAAATTGCTCGAGTGATTCTTCACATTACCACTTGATTCTTTTTAACGGTACATTCAAATTTACTGGACTCCTTGCAACATTCTACATTCTTCGCATTTCTACTCACCGATTCTTTCGAAATAACGATATGGTAATAATATAATTTAGAATAATTAATCCGTTATATAGAACGAAGGAATTTTGCAAATAAATATTCAGTTCCATAGAAATTTCTCATTTTTTTCATACACTGCAGAGCATAACTTGGCTTCAAGAGTTCTGCCGCTTTAAGCAACGACTTCTAAGTATTAATGTATTAATATTTATGACCAGATACAATATCAAATGAGATTTTTAATTGCTGTAATTTTTATCCAATCTTAAGATTAAGTGCTGTTTCGCTCAATCTTTTGAGTTTTACCATCATTCCTTCACACGTCACGCGACGGACCACCGATATCGAAATTACTTAAAAAAGCAGTATCAGAAACGTGACATGGAGACGAAATAAAAATATCCATCCGTTTTACTCCCGTTTAAAGTATTCGCGAATTCCTAAACGATCGAACCCGTACCGTTGCCCGTCTCCTCCCTTGTCATCGTCACTTTTGCTTCGTCTTCTGTCACGTCCTTCCCCTCCGTCCCGTATACCCTCCGTCGACGCCCAGGCAGCACGAGTGGTTCGTGAGAACCTACCTTGAATCACGCACCGCGGCTCCAACGCCCACGCATATTAAGCGTGCCCGCCTCTAGGAACAACGTAAACGTTCAAAGCTGACGCGGAAACCTACTCGCGCCGCGTTAAGGACAGGTTCACGGCTCGAGACGCGTGCAACGCTCGAGCTCGCTTCAAACTAAAGCTCCGACGAAGGGTGCAAATTGAAAGCTTTTCAATTTAGAAAGTCAAAAAAACCGGAAGGTTTTAAAAAAAATTAAAAGCTTTTAATTTCCACGCGCTGTCGAATAATCTTGATTTCCGAAGAAAAATTGCACGACACCTGGAATCGAATCCGGAATCGAGACATCACCCTATGGGAACGCGATCGTGGCATATTCCCGCGACCGCGAGAAATTTCATTCACCTTCCACAGAATGGGAATCAATTAACGGGATTATATATCGCGGATTCCAGCGCAACGACACATAACGATAAGATATCATAATCGACACCATGGCTTTCCTTCTCGGCTGAGCAAACGATCATAAACCCGATAACTGGGTCAGAACGAACGGCTCCCGATCCGTCCGATTTCCTGTCGAATCGTGAATAAATAACCGCGATTATCGAGCAGAGATACAGGGTCCAAGCATTTCCAGCTATCTCGATGTGATAAATCGCCGACCGGAAATAGTATAAACGATCTAAAGAATATTGTATAATTACAAACACAATTTAATATTGATTGGTTTGTTTGAAATTACACGATTTGAAAAGTAATAAAGTAAATATTAATTTGACGTAATGATATCTCATAGGGCGTATACTGTTTTTTCTTCTTCTAATAGAATATTACAACGCGTTTGTTTATTATAGTTCATAAAACCATGCATAAACGCAAACAGCCATTTCTATTCATTCTTCATTTTACGAATCTACGTAGGAGTATGATGCCCTGGAACGTTTTATAACCGTACCGCGGAAACTTTTAATTATACTATCATTAGTTGATTTTTTAACGAAACGAAATTATCATTCTCCTGATACTAAAATCTTCCCAAGGTGTATCTACAACTTGAACAACGTAATAAAACAGAAGAGGAAATCAAAGTAAAAAAAGCGATGAATTAAGTGTCATAACATTTCATTTAACAGCTCAATAAAGAAAAAATACAAAAATTTTATTAAACAATTATTTGAATTAAAAAGATTGTCAGTATCAAACGAATGGATCAGTGCATAAAAAAGGGAACCACCGAAGAAGAAAGAAAAAGAGTAAGAAAGGGAGGAAAAAGTACCCGTCGTAAGTCCCTTTCGATTTTATTGCCAACTCCAGCCCGCTTGGAATTAGCGAGCAAAGTTACACGCGCGATATATTAAGGGTAATCGCATTCATAAATGCAACAGTTGCGGCTACAACGATTCGACCGTGTGTAATGGCGCTCACAAATCAGATCTCGGGCCCAACCACCCCTCGATCACCCCCCCTAACCATAAAGTACGCCCACGCGAAGATCGGGCCGACGACAAATAGCGGAACACCTGGAGGGGCCAGGTGATGGCCGACGCCACCTTCGCGAGGACCTGTTACATGCCGAACAAGTATCCCGTCGTGTCAAAGTGTAATCCAACGGCCCGTACGTTTACAAGCGGTGTCACGAATCGCCCACGATCTTGATTTATACACTTCACCCCATTTCGTTATGAAACATGTCGACGGTAATGATCTTGATCGGATTAGTTAGAAAATCAATAAAGTTGTGCGAAAATCAGAAAATAGAACATAAGAAAATATTGCAAGGATTTACGTAGGATTTCTTTGGTATCCAAGAACGAACACTTCTGTCGATACAAATCAATGGAAATAAAATGTCCATAGCCATAGACCTTGAAAGCTTGAAGAAAGGTAACGTTAGACAAGATCGACTTAACCGTTCAACTTGGCCGGGAGTCGACCACTTCAACCCCAATTCAGCCCCATAAAAGAAACCCTCGCTCGTCCATTCGAATTCCAGGCTCTGTTTGTAAGAGGAGGCGCCGCAACACCTTCGGAACAACGGGGTCGTCGATCGATCGAACAAAAGCCTAGCGCAGAGAGGATGAGGAAGATGGAGAGAGGAAAAAGGCCTGGATAACGGAGCGAAGACACGGTTGACGTTTCCGTGGCAGGAAGAAGAGGGCTGAACGAGAGAGCTCAGGGTCCCAGGGAAAGCTTGGAAATTAATGGAGGTTCATTGAGGTAGTCCCCGCAAAGAGCGACTAGTTCTGCGTACCCTCGACACGGATCCATTCTTCCTGTACAACCCGAAGACACTCAGTCTACGACCGTTCTGAGAGTGCTTCGGTGCAACGACGCAAACATTGACATTGTCACGAGCCTTACCACTCTTCCTTCCTCTTCGTTCCGTCTCTATTCCACGCTTTACCACCCTCTTCCCTTCACCTTTTCGAATCGCGACGGCAAGCATCCCACCGCACCGGTCTCGAGTGACTTCCCCGACTTCTCGAACAACACACCACGAAAAACGAGTGTTTGCACAGTCGATGACTGAACTAATAGAAACCCAGCTACGCCACGCGGAACCCTCGCCACCAAAGAGGAATTCCAGGTGTCGACCGAGTGGAGCTGACGGGTTTTCACCACAGAAAAGCGCATTCCAATGAATCTTCTCTTCTTTTTTTTCGGATCGAAGAAGAAAAGTTTCTTTAGATTCTAAACAGAAGTTACGATGCGGATAAACGCGAATTCAAAGGGGGATGATGATATAGGATGCGGATGTGTAAAGAAATGTTGGAACCCGAGGTGAATATTTATGTAACCTTGTGTTAGAGGGTGAATTCAAGAGGGCGTGATGTGTCCATCTTCGAAAGGGAGGGTATATCGAGCCCGAAGAGAAATTTTCATCGAATTGAAAAGAAAATCACGTCTATGCCAGTCCCTTCGCAACGCGTCGGGAAAAAGTAAATCATCGCCTATGTACACAAGTGAGTGGCCAGATGGCGAGACGGGTGAAGGGTTCTTCAGAAATGTGTGGGTCTGGGGAAAAATCCGAAGA